ATACAACTATCTCGTTCTTGAACAACGCTTCTGATGAAGGCGGACAAGACGAAGATCATTCCGCTGCTCTCTTTGTGCAGGTGGATACCAGTGCATCCCCCATGACAGCACGGCTGCTCGACCGTTACGACCGCCCGGATGGAGGTCTCACACGGCTCCGCGGTAGCGTTCAGCGCTTGTCAAATGGCAACGTCTTTGTTGGCTGGAGTGAGCGGGGCTACCAAAGCGAGCACTCGCCCGACGGCAAAGTCCTCATGCAGGCCAGCTTTGCATCCACTCGCTTCTCCACCTACCGGTCCTACAAGTTCCCCTTTACCGGCCGTCCTCTGACGCCGCCGGACGTGGTCTCGACTGTGTACGGTACAGATGAGACCGACCTCACAACTATCTTCCACGTCAGCTGGAACGGCGCAACAGACATCGCCTCGTGGAATTTCTACGCCCGCAAGGAGAAGAACGGAATCCCCGTGCGGGTCGGCAATACCACCAAGATCGACTTTGAAACGATGTACATCGCTGACGGATATCTGGACTGGGTCTCCGTGGAAGCAGTGGATAAGGACGGGAACGTCCTGGGTACTTCTGCTATACATCGCACCACTACACCGGACAATTGGCGACTGGCAGGTTTCGAGGGCGAGGAGAAGCCCACGCCTGACGACCCTTCGCTACTGTACAGCTCGAAGCTGTCCGATGAAGACGACGTTGCAGGTTCTTACAGCACGTCCAAGGAAGCAGCCAAAGCCGTAAACCAAGCGTATGAGCTTATCCAAGGGGTTGGGGAGCTTCTGATCTTTGTTTTGATTGCATGCTCCATGAGCGGGCTCATGGCCGGCATTTACTTGTTCATCCGGCGACGTCGTATGCAGGCATACCACACAGTCCCATCCGATGAGGCTCAACCTACGGACCATCTTGGGCCTCAGGAGAGCAAATAACGCAGCTTGCATGTTTGAGAGTTGCGCATCCAATAACAAAGGCGTTGTGGTGACCTCGACCTTGCGGATACTTTCTCCATCCTCCTCCTTACACTTGCCTATAATCATGACTCATGTACATATCGATCATCATCGCGTTTCCTTGCTTGGAAGAATCATACTTTCCGAACTTCTTTAAAAGGGCTATCTACTTGTCTGAAGCATTTATTGATGCCAATGTACGAGTGATCCTTCTGCGAATCCACCATTTGACTCAATTTGCCCATTCCTTCATTGGCTCGCCTCTTTCTTTCACTCCTCATGTCAATCCCAGTGCTCCACCGCCATGAACAGGTGCCAAACAAACTAAAACATAAGTCTTAGAACCTTGGCCTTGATAGGCCCCGCCAACTCCCTCGCCAGTCTTTCATCCTCGCGAATTTGAAAAGCCGTTGGATCCATGATCTGTTCCTCAATATCCCGAGCGACTTTCTCAAGCTGGTCCTGTTTGAAGCTGCCTATGTGAAGTCGAATCTCGACCCAGTCGAGTCGTGGTCCATAGCGCGCAAAGGCAAGCAGCGGTAAGGACCACCGCTCACCCACTTGAAGACTGATGGGCCAGTCCCGAATATTCATATTGATATGAAGGACACGCAGCGATTTGCAGTAGACAGTCAGGTCATCGCAGGCATTGTACCACGCCATATCGCTCATGCACTTGTACCACCGGAAATTCAGCAATGCAGGCTCGCTGTACATGGTATGGTTGAGCTCGATGTGCTGGATCGCCATTTGAGCTTCCTTGCTGGTGATCTTCAGAAAGCGCATCACGGTACGAGTCGTGTTGAAAATGAACTGCATCCTGGAGTAGAACAGGCACAGCGTATCAAGATAGATGCTGCGACATGTGATCAGAAGCGCGATGGGGAGGGGGGCACAAGTAAAGCGTCCTTCACTTGAGGGTGCGACATGTGTTCTTGGATCGCGAGGTCGCAGCTGACGATGGTAGAGGCGGTAATGGACTCTCTTGATGTTGTTTTCTGGGTTCTTGTCCCGCAAACGGAGGACTTCGACTCGGTGAACGTCAAACACGAGTTCGTAGATTCTCCAACGTAACTCGCCGGGAAGACGCTGAAACGCCGAAAGTTTGGTGGGTAGAGTGTCTTTCACCATGGCAGGTGCATTCTTAACTGGGCCTTGGTAGAAGCTCTTCTTCGTAGGAACGAATTGCAGAGACTGAGGGGAAAGGACACGACCTTCCTCTGGCCTGGGCTTTGACGAAGAACTAGGGTATGCTAGATAGCTATTAGAGGCGGTCTGCTCACTTCAAAGTCTCGGAACAAGTAGATTCTCACACTTGGTGAAATTTTTTCCTTCACCTTCACATTTTGAACTGCCGGTCTGGTAAGCATTCGAAAAGGCATTGCTCGTCTTGCTGGTGAGGCCATTGGATACAGAGGCTTTGACATTCCCTACAGACGTAATCCCTGGTTTCTGCGAGTCTCCGGGTTTCTATTGGGTGTTCTTTGTTAGCTGTATTGCACTCAATCGAGTCAGGACAGCAGACGACTGACATTGCGATCGTGCTTTCGTCCTCCGGAGGAAACGTTCGTGTATCCGCCTCTGCCACGAGATGTCTTAATCATCGTCAATGAGACCTAGCTTGCTTAGACCGAGGTGTAAGCCCAACTGACACTAGGTTCGGAGCTCCTTGCTGGAGGACGGGAGTTGTTGTCTTCTGTATCGGGTGAATTGACGTGGGATTTGTTAGATCTGCCGCCTCTTCCTCGACCAAATCTAAATCCCCGGCCACCTTGCCGACCTCTATTTTGCTGCTTTGGTTTAGCCATGTCGAGATTATGAGTCGCTGATACGCAGAGGGTGAAGTGTGGTATAAAAAGGGAGAGAGTGTGTGTGGGAGGAGAAGAGGAAGGAGGAGATGCAGAGCCTTGAGGGAACCAAGCTTTAACACAGAGAGTACTCATGATCAAATTCAATTGAATCTAAAAGAATATCACACATATCTCAAAAATTGGTGAGATCTGAATCATTCACTGCTCCTGACTTGTTTGTTGTTATCTTTCTAGTCGGCCAGTGCAGAATAGACTGAATGGTCTGTTAATAATCAATGAATATCACACAACTCCATGACAATGTGATCGTCGGTTCCTCAACTTATTGACCTGTCTATTTCAAAGTAGTATAACCATTGTTGTAAGTTCAAATGGATATGATTGTGTTGTTAAAGATCGGTATTTAGACAGAGAGACCACTGCGCTATAAGAGAAGTATACAGATATCACGCTAAACCGCTTCCGGACTGTTGTATGCCATATTTTTCGGACATCCATCTTGCTGCTGTTATTATTAGAACTCATTTTCCATCCCCATCACAGAAAAGGTTCTCGCTGCTCTTCTTCATCGGCGTCCCCCAGCTCAGTTATTATCTAGAAGCCAGTACAACTTTAATCCTACTCTTAAAGGAATGTCTTTTTCCTCTGGAGCCCTGCGATCCTCCAGCATCTCTACCCGAGCTCAATTGCTGTCGATATTGCATCCCGTGAGATCATCACTGGGACCCCACCACAACCACCACCACCAACAACTGCAGCATCACCGCCGCCCCTATTCTTCCTCCTCTTCTAAACCTGACTCTCCTCCCCCATCTTCCTCTCCGTCGTCGTCCTCCTCCTCTTCAGGGTCTCAATACAACCGCTCTCAATTCAAAATCCTTCCCTTCGTGACCATCTTCGCCATTGGCACCGGTTCCTACATCCTATTGGTGAAATCGCGCACAGGCGTCCGCAAGCCGCAATCCAATCAATAAAACACCACACCACCTCAATAACAAGCAAAATAAAACATGGCCAACACACAGAATCCCCCAGCCGTTCCTCCCACACAACCCGCCCCTCCTCAGGCCTCGACGAACACCACCCCGCGCTTCTCACCACAGGATGTCACCGTTGTGTTCCTGCTAGGCGGACCCGGCAGCGGCAAGGGCACGCAATCCGCCAACCTAGTCCGCGACTACGGGTTCATCCACCTGTCTGCAGGCGATCTGCTGCGCGCGGAACAGGTCCGCGAGGGAAGTCAGTACGGCGACCTCATCCGCACGTACATCAAAGAGGGCAAGATCGTGCCCATGGAGATCACGGTGGCGCTGCTGTCGAACGCCATGGCCGAGGCGTTGGCGGCGGGGGCCGGCGCGACCGCTGACGGCGGGAAGAAGAAGGCCCGGTTCCTGATCGACGGGTTCCCGCGCAAGCTCGACCAGGCCGTGTTCTTCGAGGATACTGTCTGCCCGTCCGAGATGACTCTGTTCCTGGACTGTCCCGAGGAGGTGATGGAGAAGCGGCTGCTCAAGCGCGGCGAGACGTCGGGGCGTGACGACGATAATGCCGAGTCGATCCGCAAGCGGTTCCGCGTGTTTGTTGAGACTAGTATGCCCGTTGTGCGGGCGTTCGAGGAACAGCACAAGGTCTTGTCCGTCTCCGCCACGGGGACGGTCGATGAAGTGTATGCCAGAATCCGGGAGGGACTCGAAAAGAAGGGTGTCCAGCCTATCTGATGGAACTATGTTAACCTCGGCTTTTGACCGCCAATCGCTTCCGATCTTCGGACATCTTCCCTGTTGATATATGTCTGTTTATTTTGGAAGAAAATTCATGTTCGTGTTTATATAGACGTATCCCATTTAGTCCATCTTGTCAAATACAAAGCGTCCCGTGTCTTAACCTATCGTACTAGAGCCAAAGAAATATACAATCTCTACCTCAAAATATCGCCAAAAGGATGAACAAGACATGATTCGTGATTGATTGATCTGGCCCATTCCTAACTACTGACATGCATCCAGGGCTTCCCGTCTCTAGACAACAGAAGTAGCTACAATATGAACATTGTAGAAATGGAAATTCGAACAAAATAAAGGGGGGTCTCCTGGTTCAGATGAACAAGACAAGTAAATAAAGCAAAGGACACCCCAATCATTATCTTTCTTCTTTTTTTTTCATCTTGTGGCGACGAAGTCTATTGCTTTCTCCTGCCTCGCTGCAACTCTACTTCCCCTCAGCGCCTAATCTATTCAGCACCTCCAACCAACTCAACCTCCCGAGCCTGCTGTGGTTGTGAGGGTTGCGACTGCTGTTGTTGCTGGGGGTTACGTCTCCGGTCACCGCCCTTGGCTCCTTTGTCGCCCGACTTGCCCTGACCGGTCTCCTCAGCCGCGGCCTGCATGCTCTCCCGGATATAGCGCTCCCGCTCGGTGCGGAGAACACCCAGCACACTCTCCAGACTGCGGCGCCAGACCATCAGACGGCCCTGCACCTCCGCCCACTGCTTCTCGCCGAATACACGGTATGTGGCCCGGTGCACCAGGAACTCGGAACGCAGCTGCGACAGCTTGCCCTCGACCAGACCAGCCCGAATAGTGTCGATGACCCACTTCTCCACATCTTCAACGGGCACGCGCAGCGCCGAGGCGATGGTAGCATAGGGGAGGGAGCGAGAGGGAGTCGAAGCCGCAAGCGAAGCCAGGGTCAACAGGCGCATCTTGGTCTGCAGAGCCTCGGCGCCATCGGCCAGAACACCGCCAGAGATGGTTTCGAGAGGGGTGGCCGCGATGAAATCCTCGTAAGCGTCCAGAGTGTCGGCGGTGAAGATCTCCAGCAATTCGAACAGGGTGCTGTCGCTGGAGCGAAGAGCCTGGATGGCATCGGCGGCGGTCAACGAAGTGAAATCGAAAACGCCGGGGCTCTTCAGGGCGGAGGTCAAGGCACGGACGGCCAGGTCGCGCGCTTCCTTGCTGGAGGACTCGTTGGCGGGGATCGTCTGCAGGGCCTGCACCACATGAGTCTGTGCCAATTCAAGATCGCCCGAAGCCTGAGCGGCATCGGCAACAGCAAGGTGCAGCTTCTGAGCGTCCTCGTCATCCAACTCCCAGGCAGACAACCAGGTGGGCAGCTGAGCGGCCAGCTGAGGCTTCAGAGCCTCGAAGGCGTACGAAGAGCCGGACTGGCGAATGACGGCGACGATGGCCAGGAGGACGTGGAAACGGCTGGAGTCGGTGGGAGCGAGAGTGTTGAAGATGGTGGACAGGATGGAGATTGCGAGCGTGGGGCCAAACTGAGGCGAGGTGGTGATAGGTTTGGCGAGGTAGGTGCAAATGCGGGAGAGGAACATATCCGGGTTGGAGGCCTGGTGCACCAGGTGCACGAGGAGGTTGTAGGCGGAAATGATTTCTAGTTGCAAGATTGTAAAGGTCAGCCTTTCCCAGCTCCTTCTCTTTGACTCGATCCTCCCGGGTTCATCTATAGCAAGCCGCCCACACAAACTCACCCTTCTCTGGAGCCGCGTTCAACACGGCCGCGGCACCCACCAACTTCTTCAGCACTTCATCGCGCTGTTTGCGATCGGGCTCCTCTTCCGACTGTTCTTGCTGGCGAAGAGGCTCAATGAGGGGAGCGATCTCGGATTGGAGGCTGGCGCCCTCGTTCTTGCGGAGGGCGTCAATGTACTGGGCGAACTCATCGGCGAGTTCGGTGAAGGTACCCTCGATCAGGAGGGTGGTGGTAGGAGCGGGCATAATGGGCGTAGATAGGAGAGGGAGGGAAGGGGAGAGAGAGAAGAGAGAAGAGGTCTAGAAAAGAAAAAGAGAGGGGGTGGAGTGTCCCAAGAGGCTATCGATATTCGATAAGTTCGATGATGCCGGGAAGGGCGAAATTTCAGTGTGGGCAAAACTCTTGGCGAATTGGACCTTTTTTTGGTTGGAGAAAACACCTGACAAAGAGACGTCTCTCCAAGTGGTCAGAACTGATTCAATCCAACAACAGACCGTATTACCTTGATAAATTCATGATGATTATCGATTTGCATATTGTTTTATGATGACTATTCAGTACATATTTTGAGAAGGGAAATTTCGCACACTCTCAGGGTCTTCACCGATTAACCACATTCCGCCGCCAACAGGAGCAGTCCAGAGTCCTTTTATCATTCTACAGGCCGGATTATCGTCCAAGGGCATCATCACAATGGTTAAAAAGCAAGAAGCTACCAGCACGTCAAGTAATTAATCGGGTCGTACCCATGAATTAGTCAATTCCTAAGCGCCGACAGGTATTTGCAGGCTCCAATTAAGGACAGTCATGAAAAACGTATAGTGCATACAGGATCATAATATCTCAAATGGCTCAATTACGAGGCATGGATGCGGGGGAATATTGCGATTGCAGTGCAATGAGTCAAGTGGTCGGAAAAAAACAAAGTGCGGAATACGGGCGACGAACAGGCATTAGACAGAGAGGTAAACGGTCGAGTATCAATCTCCCTGGTTGTCTTGTGCGCTCCATGGTCGCATACTCAACGGATGTGATAGGAATGGTCATGATCGCAAACATGGCACACCACCCCACTTACAGCAAGAGACGAGCCGCAAAGAAGAGCACGGTCGCCATCACACCAGTGGCGTGCTCTCCGACCAGGCGAATGGCAGCATTGCTAGTCTGAGCGGTAGCACTGCTGCTAGTAGTAGTGGTGGCCGTGGCAGTCGACTCAGCCTGGTTTCCGGTCGCGCTCTCCGTGGCGGTGGAAATAGCGGAAGAGGTAGTGGTCGATGAGGAGGTGGAAGAGGCCGTCGCGTTCAGTGTACCGCATTCTTTCTGGGCGGCCGTACACTTTTCATCCTGATCCTGAGTCGAGGAGGCACCAATGCACTGCTTGTAGGTTTCCTGGCAGACAAAGAAGGGGATGGTCTGCATGTACGGGGACACGTCGGCCTCGGTACCGTTGCTGCAAACGCAAGAGAATTGGAGAGTGTCCTGTTCATTTATCGCATTAGTTGGGTGAGCATTGAGAACGGTGGGTTTTAAGTTCATCAAAACATACGGAATCACATGAGTTGCGATCGGCGATTCCACCGCAGATACTCGGGCAGGTGTTCCGCTCAGCCAGACACCAAGAAGCTATAAATCGTCTCGATGTCAGTCAATTGACCACTCGGGTTGACGAGCGACCTCAGCCACGGACCTTTGTCAGTAGAGGTAACCTGAGCGATGTTGAAGCCCGCGGGGAAAGTGTAATTGTTGGCAGCAGCAGCGGCAGCCACCAAGGTGGGCAAGACAATGGCGATGGAGCGCATGGTGGAGAAGGTGAAGATCTTTGATTATGTGAGAAGATCGACAGTCAATTGATAAGGTTATTGAGGATGCAAATAATCCTAACTGGATGAGATTATTATTGTTAATGACGACGACGACGATGGAGAGAGAAGAGGGAGGGAAGAGAAGGGAGACAGGTAAAAGAAGGAGAGGAAGTGGAGGAGAAGAACGAGGGAAATAAACAAGAGGGAAAGTCCAATTCTCTCCAGCAAACACTTAGATTATTTTGTATTAGAAGGAAAGGACCTATCGAGGATCAGGAATGCCAGTTTAGCGTCAATTCTCGTCGAAAACGGAAATTATTCAAATTCGACCAAGGATCTTAGTTTTAGGACTTGGACTTGGACATTGGACCTGGTAGAGGAGTTAGTTGCAGACTAACGGAGATACCTTGGTACAGTCCTAGCTAGTCCATGGTCTTGACTGTTATTATTATTATTATTATTACTATTACTACTATTCTTCTTCTTAACTGGTCCCATGACTGTTGGACTCAAATAGCAGGATTCATTATCAATCAATCCTTTATTTCCGTGAAGAATTGTCTGCTCCGTACGAGTGATGACACTGCCGGATAATAAACATTGCGAAGAACTTCAAGTCAGGCACCACATTTGAAGCTAGCAATTAGCGACTAGTAGCAACTATGTTAGCAAGACATAGTATCCACTACGTAACCTAGTCTACTACCTAAATGACCGAACCCATTGTATTTGTTGACAGCCAATCATTCACCTGACGCTCCGGAGTCTGCGGAGATACCTACAGAGTAGTCTGCTCCATACAGTCGAAATCATGGAACGACCGGCACTTTAGGTGTCGCCAGGAGAGTACCTAGTGTAACTCAACATTCATCATCAGCTGCTATTATTATTATCTTTGTTGTTGTTTGTTATTGTTATTATGATTATTATTCAGGACTGGTGGCACAAGGAATAAGAAATATTTCTTGGAGGAATAATACTAAAGGATCAGAGTCATATCATACCATCCGAAAACAGAGGAATGCCGTGGTTGCTCATGTGCTCAGACATTGGTTGGGTACCTGAATGTACCTGAGGGCGGACAACGCAGGTAGACACTATAGAGTAACTAGCCTGTAGCAGATAAATAGTGTCAGAACAAATGACTATCCTATCCATAACTCCGTAGAGTAAATACTACGGAGTATGTACGGAGTAGACTTGATCAATCTCGGAGATAACATTTCCACAAACAGAGAACATACCCGCTGCGGACTAGATATGAAAGAACGTAGGACTCGTAGCACACTCAGTCTACTACTACCTTACGAAAGTCGATATCTGAGCCAATTATGAGTATTCTTCTCAGGTCCCATATCTTGACAGATGGTTGTCTAACTAACTACTGATCACTCCAGATCAACCGTAAACCTGACGATGATCAATCGGCATGATGGTTCTTCATCCGAACTGTAGCCGAGGTTCGTTGCTGCTGTTGGACACATCGAACAGGCACTTTTGTGGATACATTTCCTACCTTCTCGTCCATCTCACCCTCAATTATCTCTTTCCTCGATACAATCCCTCTAAAAATGGCCGAAAAAGACCACCCTCCCTCCGCTCCTCCGCCCACTTCCTACATGAGCGAACCCACCTCCGATCCCGCCCTACTTGATCCCTTTCGCGCCATCGGCTGGTCCAACTCCCTCCTCAACTCCCCAGACTACTATCCCATCCGCACCTGGTCCCGACTCCCCAAGCCACACACAGGCGAAGATGGCTTCTTCGCCGGCACCCTGGCCACATCCTCCACCATCCCGCACTGTCTGACTCTCCGCCGACGCAACCTCCTCCCTCCCCCGCAGGAGGTCCCCGTCTGGCCCAGTCCCACCGCAACCCCGTCGTCGGCGCCCTCGCCAATTCCTCCGGATATCATTATGATGGTTGATCTGGCGACGCCCGGCGTGAGTGGCCATCCGTCCACCGCTCATGGCGGCGTCGTGGCCACACTGCTTGACGAGGCCATGTCCTTGGCAGTCGCCATTCATGCTCCGTCCTCCGGGGACCATCCGCGGGGTGCTATCTACACCGCGCAGCTGGACGTCCGATACAAGAAACCCCTCCGTGTGCCTGGCTTGGTTGTCGTCCGCGCGAAAGTCGTGGCTAGGGTCGGAAGGAAGTACTGGGTGCGTGCGCAAGCGGTGCAGGAAGAAAGTGACGAGAACAACGGCCGCGGTCTCGGGGGCCATCTGGAATGGGCGAAAAAGAAGACAGTGGTGACGGATGCCATGGCGTTTTGGATACAAACTGCTCCTTCGTTGTGACCACCGTCTCCATTCCATATTCTATTTCTAATGTATATACTCCGTATAGAGATATAAATGTACATACAAAGACATTTATGCGTAGATTTAGTGGTCTAAGGAGAGAGGGGAGTGATGCAGGGAAGAAGGCTACATCTTCGACTTCCGCTGCCCGATATTCCGGCTGGCATCCACCACCAATCCCACTTGGGTGCTCAGCGCGACCACATCCCCCTGCTCATCCAGAACCACCACGTCCAGATCGGTCCGGCCGTTCCGCACCGACTTGGTCTGCACTCGGCTATACAGCCACTCCACCCCGCTCGCCGGTAACCGCTTCTTGAAGTCGATGTTCAGCGTCACGGTCGGGTACCAGTACTTGGCCAGTTTTCCCTTCGCCGCTTCCGTTTCTGCAGCGTCGTCTATAGTGCCTCCCTCCTTCGTCGCCTTGCCCATGCTGTCAAACCCATCCAGCGCCATCGGGAACATGTCCACCAAAAACGCCACGGCCTCATTCGTCCACCGCGCCTCCGTGTTCCCACCTGGCCGGAACCGCGCCCACTGGTCGACAACCGGCGGCTTGCCCAGCGCAGGATCCGGTCCGTACAGTTCAACCTGCTGCGACGCCCGGCGGAACTCGGGAAACGGCGCAACCAGCCGAACCCATTGCCCATCACGACCGGTCTCCCGCAATGCTGCAAGGTTCACGCGACCCTGAGACCCCGACCCGCGAATTGCCTCAGGTAGCAAGGTCCAGCTCGAGGGCGCCGACACGCCCACTTCAGCCGTCGCGGGGCTCACCGTGATATAACCCGCGACCTTGACTTCCAGATTTTCCCCGTCGTCAGATGAGACCGACGGCCCAGTCTGTGTCTCCTTCTTCTTCCCCTTCTCGCTAGGCTGCAACAGCGCGACATGTATCGTACTGGTTCGAGCCCCGATTTTCGTATCCTGCACCTCCAACACAGCCGGGCCGACGGCCGTGCGACGTAGAAACGCAAGCTGCATGGAGATCGGGGTGGCAGTGTCATCGTACCGCCTGGGATGTGTGTGCGCAAAATGTGTGATTGCCAATCGGTAAAGGACAGCTGTTGTATATCCGCCGTTGGGAACTACACGGCGTCAATCAGCTCGCAATGATCTCGAATCGCTATTCTGCAAATTGTAGGAGACGTACCGGTGCCAATGCACCATTCATCCCGCAAGACGGCCGAGTACCGGTGGCTATTTACAGGAGTCACTTTGATCGCCTCCTCAAAGGCCTGATTTGCTGCGGGGGCTGCCATCGCTATAGGTTGTCGTTACGGCCGCAAAAGAAGATTACTTTTGTAGATTGACAGGTCAGGTCAGATCAGGCCAAGCAAGCTGTTCAGAGAAATTGGAAGTCCTGTCAAATGAAAGAGAGGTTGGAGACATGCCGGAAACCGCAGCTAATGTCGCAGTCGATTGTCAACATTAATACGTCGGCCATGCGCTTCGGATCAGGCCTGACCAGACCTCGGTTCTTCGTATCTTTGGAGCCAAAACAGCCGAACGCTGACTAACCCGCTACAGTTCGTGACCAGTTGACCAGTTGACCAGTTGACCAGTTGACCAAAAACCTACGGATTGAAAACGTTCATCATGATGTTCTTGTATGTGGCATCCGTGTTCCGGCATTTTTTATCTGTATGGAACGAAATATTCCTCACATTCCATATCCAGATATTCCATTCATTACGCCCGTTGACCTTCTTTTATCTTCAACGCTGCGGTGTAATTAATTTCCCAATACATCCAAATATTGAGCCATTTGCATCGTACCCTCGTAGATTGATTGAATCAAAAGAAGAATCTGTGTACTTAGTGCGCTGGTGACGCATTTGCCAGTCTCTCAAGGCAAGAGAGGACACCTGTGAACAGTTGGAGTCAGCGAGACGTTCTACATTGCTTAGAAGCCTAGTATGGCACGACAAACTACTTACCAGTCACTCCCTGCGTCAGAGTGGCTTTGGCCTCTGTGCTGCGAGACCCCAGAGTGACTGTCATCGCATAGCCAACTGCCTTTGCACTTTCCAGCTTGTTAGCCCATCGGAACACTGGCTCGTCGTCTCGACCGTCTCCGATGGCCAACAAAAAGTCCGGCCGAGCAATCTGCTCGTCCTTTTGGCTCGCATTGATGCAGTCCCGCCATACCAATTCCGCCGCCGAGGCCTTGTTCGTATTTGCTGGTCCTACCACGAGTGCACGGTCAATGAGAACGGCATGTACCCCCTGACTGGCGCATGCATCGTTGATATGACCTGCACACTCAGATGCCAGCCGAGAGGCAGCCTCGTTGTCTTCCGCCGAGCCATAGTGGAACACGAGGGAGCAGTGGCGTTTCTCAATCCAGCTGCCCTCCGCTCGTTCCTGGTAGTAGCTGAGAATCTGACTGACGCCTTCCTTCCAGGCATCTGTCCGCTCCTTGTTGGTCAACTTGAGCCATTCTTCGGTGTTCGGCTCTCGCACGAAGCAGCCATTCTCTGCGATCAGCCCGAGGCCGGGAACTCGTCGGAACAGACGTTCCATCTCTTCAGGCATTCGTGAGCTCATGACATAAACCACATTCTTACTGTCCTCCGTCAAATCCGTCAATGTGGTAATGGCTCGCTGTGGAGTCGTGACAATGATGCTCTTGGGAGAGCCCCATGACGCAAGAGTGCCCTCGTAGTCCACAATAATCAATCGGCGTGCGGATTTTCGGTACATCTCCTCCACTTTGTTGACGGGCAAGCGCGGAACAGCCATGATCTCACGGGAAGACTGTTCATTCCAGACACGTTGCAATTTCTCATTGAAGGATTTCACCCAGTTTCCTGTGGAGTTCTGAAGGACGGCCCGGCGAAGCTGCTCCCACACCCGTTGACGCTCCGCCTCGCTCCTGGTCAGTGCAGTATGGACGGCCTCCGCACATTGGCGGTAGTCCCAGGGGTTGACAAGCAGCGCGTGGTTGCCAAAAACCGACGCACTTCCAGTGAACTCGCTCAGAATGAGAGATCCATACTTCTTGTTTCCGTATTTTCCATCTTGGCAATACACAAATTCATGACTGGTCAGATTCATTCCTTCACGCAAACTGGTGATCATCAAGGCATCCGCCACTGAGATCAAAGCCAAGTATTGCGGGAAAGCAAGATCTTGTTTGAGGAATACCAGTGGCTGATGAGCAAGCGTTGAGTGCATCGAGTTAATTCGCATGGCGATGTCTGAAATCATGGCTTCGAGCTCTGGCTGTTCGGTGGTGCTTGTCGCGACTTGAATCAGAACAACCTGTCCAGAAGGGTCAGCGCAATCGCATAAAGGCGCATATAGCAGCCAAGAATGTACTTGCCTTGTCTCTCCATTCAGGGTACGTGTTTAGGAAGAGCTCGTAGCTCAGAAGCTTTTGCCTGATTCCGCGAACTGAGTCAATTTTGTCGCGGGAAACGATAAGACATTTTCCTTCATATCTCTCCGAGATTGTCTTCACCCATTGTTCCACATCGGCCGCCTGTCGTCGCTTGTCCCAGGAGGTTGGATCGATACCGATGGGAAATGTACCCACGTTAACAAAGCGATCCTCCAGCTCGAGTCCCTCGTTGGTTGCCTCGACGCAAAGGATGCGACTACAGGTCTGAAGGAAATGTCGGCAGTACTCATCAGTCTGGAACCCAATAAGGTTAGCGCCCAACATGCCATCGAGAAGTTCTTTTCGAGGCGCCAAGCATCTGAACACTTCGGAGGAAGGAAAAGCTATATGCAGGAAGAAACCGATTTGTGCGTCCGGGAGTAATTTCCGAAGCATCGCGGGGACAAGGAGCAGGTGGTAGTCCTGGACCCAGATGGAATCGCCGCGTTTCCAATTCTTCGCAATGCGCTCCGCGAACGCCTGGTTGGTCTTGACATAATAAATCCAGGAGTGGTCTTCATATGCTTTGCTTTTCGGGTTGTCGGGGATCTGGTAATGAAACACAGGCCAGAGGATTGTCTTGCAGAAATGAGTGTAGTGACCGTCAAAATCACCGTCGCTGACATAGACCGTCAACGATCCGTACTCATCTTCTAACTTCTCGGCGATGGCAGCTTTGGTGTGCGGCGACAATGCATCCGTGGGCATACCCAGCGTGCCAACCCACACTTTGTCTTCCAATTGGCCTGCATCCGTTGCAGATCGCACCGCATTACGCAACCCGCCGTTACCCTGCTCTGCTGTTTCGACGGTCCACTCGGCCTTCGAGAACGAAGTTTTGCGGCTGCGATCCTCGGCTTTGTCCGGGGGATGCGACCGGAAGGGTTCGATCTTCAATGGTGTCTTTTCGCGAATCGGCTCCAAAACAGAGACAGTGGGCTCCTGGTGTTTAAGGATCGAAGGGGAGGGTGAAATAGGCGGCCGAGCCCTGGGCTGGTTCAGAGCTGTGGTGGCACCCCAGGCGGGAGAATGGGCTTCACTTTCGGTGAGAAGATTTGCATCATCTGGCACAGCAGGAAATGGATAGCTTGAGGGTTCCTGCTCAGCCTTTGTGATGTCCGATGTGAAGATTCGCTCATGATCAGTTGTAGCCCCAGGCGTCAGGCCTGCCTTTCTAGCACCATTCTGTCGTTCAAACAAGCTGATAGCAGCATTGGGTGTTGGGGTCACAGCCTGGGACGGAGGGTTCGATACGGGAGGGCTCGTTAGAGCACCGGCTGGATCTTCAGAGTCGTTGTCATGAAAATTCACAGTGTACGGTAGGAATCTGGCAGATCGAATACGTCAGCGCAACAATGACAGTAAGGAGAGAATAGTCGACATACAATGAAGCGATGAAGATCGTCATCTTTGCTGATTGATACGGACTCTAAACCAATGGCGGAGGAGGGATGCCAACGAATGGCGAAGGAGGGGCTGCAGGAAATGGAAAGGAATAGTGCTCGAACTGCAGTTGATGAAGAAAGGGTCATAGAAGATATAGAAAAAGTGACACAGCGACAAGAAAAAGGCACCCTGAATGCTGGGCTGATACAACTGCTGGTTCTATTCTACCACGGATCGTTGTACTTGTCAGAACTTGGACACAAAGGGCCTTCTCTCATGGCTACGTCATGTGAGAAAAGGGTGAGGCCTAAGGCGGAAGAATACAGCAGCAGTGGGACGGCCCACTAAAAACCTGATAAGCAATGGTCAAAAACAAGAGAATCCAGGGTGAGAAGAAGGATGTATCTCTTTTTTCCCTCTCCAGGGTGGCTTCGGCCCTGTCTAGAAAAATTTTGGACTATTAACAGTGATCTACAAAGTATCTCTCTGATTAAAACTAAGATCTTTTGTCGTCCCGACTGGTCGATCATTTCGTTATTGGCTGAGATGATCGATCCTTGTTGGGTTGGTTCGTCTGTCATCATGCAAACCATAAGCTGCGCTCTGATTGGCTCAGAACTGTAGATTCACAGGCGGTTCGGATAGTGAGGGGTATTGGTCACGTGTTGATAAATCGCATCTTATCATCACATGGAATAGGAAGCCTCAGGCAGAAATTTCGTATCACTTGAGGGCATCCAAAAACTTGAACGACATCTCTTCCTGAAAGGTTTCTAAAACCGCAGTCCTTCCCTTCTATTCTTCTTGCTGGGCCATGCCATTACGGATCACATCTGCTCCGGTATCTGGTATTCAAAAGAAAAAGAGACCCGCAACGTTTAAACCTCGCGCCTCCCCTTTTGCCGGACATGCTCGCCAGAAAGCCGCCATTCAATCCTCCCGTCCTTCCAAGTCCGATCAGCTAGATGAGCTGTACACGGGTGATTCTGATCAGGGCCCACTTCCTGACCTTGGGAGTTCGCATTATGTGTCACAGATCGCCGCCGTCGAGGATGTGATTCAGGCCATCCACTACATTCGCGACAAGATGTTCGAGGATATCCCTGCTCGCGCTGGCATGAATAGTACTCGCATTGCTCAAGTACTTAATCTACGCCGGTCGCTACCCCCTCTAGCCTCAGTGGCTCATGTTCACACTCTGATGGATGCGCCTACGAAAGTGGAGAAAGAGATTGTGGAACTGGTCAATGCCGGTCGTGTTCGTCGCTTGATCGTCCCAGGAAGAGGGAATGATGCGGCGGGGCTTGGCGATTGCCTAGTTCTAACAGAGGATTGGGAAAGGCTGGTGCGGGAAAGCAGTGTCTTGGAGGCCTCAGTTAAGGGTAAGTGAATGGCGTCCTGCCGTATCACCTGTTTGCCTTGCTCTTGCTGATCAGCTCGCAGATAAATTTCTTCAGGTTCTCGACCACATCGGAAACACATCGGCTATACCTGCATCGCGTCTTTCCCAATCGGAGCGTATGGAACTGCTTCGCGCCGGATTTTTGGTGTCATCGTCCTCTCTCGTCAAAGGTTCCACGGGTGTCGCATCGCTTCCCGGTCTTCCATCCTCTACTCCTGCTTCTGCTAGTCGGAGTAGTAGCGACGGTCAGTCCTGCGACACTCCGGATAACCAGCATCAGTCTCAATTTGAGACAGCCACCCTCTTCCTCTCACTTCCCAACACTGGGCCATATCTTCGCCTTCTCGGAGCTGGTCGGAAACATCTCCTTGGTCTTCTCAACAAGTCCAGTTCTGGCGAGGCCCCTGTCTATCTTCTGCGGGATCGCTGGGATGGCGCGGTTGAAACGGATAAGAGCTTCAGCGTTGCGAAGCGCGTGCGAGGTGAATTTGCTGGCATACTTCCAGGAAAGACGAGAAAGTGGAAAGAGCTCTATGGCATGAATTTCCGCTGGGCTCTGGAGGAAGCTCTGGGGGCCGGGTTAATTGAGATCTTCGATACTGGCAGTGTTGGGCCTGCAGTACGCGCTCTATGAATTTGCTTCGTAGAGGAAGTCGTGCAATTTGGATGAAACTGGGTGCGATGGTGAAATTCCACCCGCTTTCACCTCATTGAAGCATACATATATATACGTCGTCCAATATCGACACCACTACGGAAGACGAACCATAGCGCGATTGCGCAGCTCGAGGCCCGGGAAGTTCGGTCCGACGAAGAATGTCTCGCTGACGGACGCCGTGCCGTGCTGGATGGTTTGGGCGAACGTATCGATACCCTGGCCGTTCTTCTGACACGTTGAAGACATATCAAAGCTCATAAAGAGCTGTAGGTACGGTCTTTGGAGTGCTTCATGTTCTGTCGAGGCTCGAGTACCGGAAAGCGTCTCGAGCCCCTTCATATACCCCTGGTTAGGTTTGAGATAGAAGTTACTATAGAATACAAGACATCTTTGCTCACCCCACGGCTTCTCGACTGATAGTTTAATTTACCCGCAGGCTCAAGATCCACATCTGGCACTTCAGAGATGATCAGCACACAACCTAGTTACTATTCAGGAGCTCGCGGAGCTTATCATCTAGCTCACCTAGCTAGCTTGCCATTCCATCTTCACAATATCGAGGTTATCTAAAATGGAATCTTCAAAGCTCAAGTCCACAGTGTCAACACCACTCATCCGCCTCTCCCCACATCCCCTTTCCTCCCTTCCCGCTCACCCCTCCCTCAACGCATCCCCATCGTCATCCCGTCCCCCACTCCACAGCTTCCTCGAAACAGCCCTATCAGAAGCCCACTCTCTCCTCACAGACACCATCCCGAATACCTTCAAGGTAGACCCGAAACCGCGCTCCTCCCCACCAGCCACAGCCAAGGTTCAGCTCCTCAAGCGCACCATCCGCCACGGCAAGGGGAGTGTCCGAGGAGAGGAGGAATTCTGGGTATGTCGGAAGAGTGTTCACCAGGATGCCGCTGTGGACGGTTCGGCTTCGTGGGAGGAGTTCCGCAGGGGATTGAGGGAGAATCATTCCGAGAATGAGATGGCATATACGCCCAGTGTGACTTCTGTCGAGAGGTTGCTGGAGTGGCCGACCGAGGGGGAGATCGAGGGTGGTTGGAGGCAGGTCGGGATGCATGGTGAGTTGAGATCTCGATCTTGTGAGATGATTTGCTTTGTGTGTAATCGTATGCGACTCGTACATCGAGAATGCACTCCTTGTATTTGCATCCTGTCTCCGGCAGGTCGTATCTTTTGCTTCGTTAATCTATTCTATATACACCCAAAACACCCCAGGTCTATGCACCACGCATCTAATGGCAACCACTAACAAGCAGCCAGTGAACATCATCACCCATACTTTCCACCCAACAGCCTTAATAGCCCCTCGCACCTTCATCAGCCTAGTCATCTCTGCTGACTTACCAAACTTCGTCCATCAGGGATTCATGACGGTTCAGATCCCTCTAGCGGCGAAACCTACAGATGCAATTCCCCACGAGATACGGGAGAAGGTTGCATCCGTCGCGCCCAGAAACGCGGTTTTTGCATCCTATGCCAGCGTGGAACAGGTTGTATCAGTGCCAACACCGGCGGTGGCCTCTAACCCACACGCGAGGGGCAGGACTGGTGATGCCAATCAGCAGGAGTGGACGATGGCGACCACTTCGTATGCAGGCGGGGCGATTCCGCGGTGGATACAACGAAGCTGGACGATGGGCGGAGTCCCCAAGGCAATCGTAGCCGACGTGGGGTATTTCATCAGTTGGACAGGCCAGCAGAGAAGCAATATATCAGATTCAGCTTGAAATAGTAGCGAAATGCCGTTAACCATATCTAAGATCGATGTCTGATAGTGCACTCGTGCTGTGCTACTCCTTTGGACTTCCTTGCAGCCATTGTTGGGTACAGAGGACTAGCCGGTGCTGATTTTCTCCAAGTACAAGAAGAAAACGAATACAAATACAGAGCTCAATCGAAACGTCTCCCAGACGGGAAGTACATATGTGGCCCAACGAATGAATTTGTGACGGATTTTGCCAGCATGAACTTCCAGACCAAGGAGACCAGAAGGACGAATTTTTAACTCCTTACTCCCTGCGCCATAGAACCCGAAAAAAGACAAACGCGGAAGAAGAGTATGTTATGAAACAGAATAGCGCCAAGTACAGCCAGTGGAGACAAACCATCATACCCAGCGTTATGCAACTTTCGACATGGCGAACACCGTCACGTAAATGGTGAAATGAAATATTATAGAGGCTAAGAAATCAAAAGACGAGACGTAGGTGAGATAGTGGTAATCGGAAGCACAAACGAAAGGGAAGAAAAGAAGGAGTTCGGCGAATCAGATTTACCAGCCTGGCTCGGCAGCAAAGTTCGTGTAGACATGGGATGATCTGTCGTCAGAGACATCTGAGCTCCGAGTAACGGGACATTTGAGAGGTGGTAATCGAACCTTTGGGTACGACGGGGAGGACTACTAGACATAGCAAGGGACATCATATGAAAGTTCGAGGACCAATAACAGATGAGTGCATATCGGTCATCGCTGTGCAGTGCTACCGGAACTGCTCTCGAGTTGAGCCGATGTGGCGCTTTTATTCGAAGGCGCTAGGTTGCTGGCATTTGACGAAGCAAGTTGGGATCGTAAAGCGGCCACTTCGCTTTTCAACCCCGCCAATTCTTCGTGGACTGATCGGATGTAGGCCCAAAGCTTGTCCTCCCGATCTCTGCCTTGTTCTACAAAGCTGGGATCATGTGGTCCGGGAAGATGAGTGCCATTGCCTGCTGTGGCGTCCAGGCCAGCTTTCGAAGACAGGGATCCACTGTGATTGGTAGAATGACCGAGGGAAGATCCGTGTTTTGTAGCGGCCGGCGGCGGCGGCTGCACAGATCCTGGATTGTGAAGGGAGAACCGCGTATCCGAGGGGCCCATCCCGGGTGGAGGAGGCAGCTGAGGGGCGCCGGGTTGAGGGGGAGGAAGTCCCAAGCCAGGAGCGGCATGATTCGTGACGGGTCCCTGGGAGGGTCCGGATCGGCTGAAGGGTTGCTGCTGGAATGGCTGCGACATACCGGGAGAGTGTGACCGGTGCAACTGGATACTACCGCCCTCCGGACCATGTCCGCCTTGGTGTGAGGTAAGAGCGTTTGGTGAAAGGGGCCTTGGGCTCTCGGACACGTTCGTAGACTGAAACACCGACGCACCCGAAGGCTGCCCCGGCGGTGGGAAAGTCATATTCCCGGATTGAGAAACGGGAGATGTCGACGCACTAGACCCACCGTGGCTTGTGGGAGGAGGGAATAATCCTCCCGGGGAGGGTCTGCCGGCAGCTATTGGAGGATATGTATTTGGCTGACGCGGTTGGTAGCTGCTGCCAGAGTGAGAGCGTGGAATAGAATCTGAGGGGGCATCGTGCTTTTTGATGCTGGGCATGTTGAGTCGGCGTTCATCCTCTTCATCCATTCGCTCCGGTTCGGCATAGACGAGACCGTCCATGGTATCTTCGGCGCCGGGGGGAACAGCGCCGTCGCCATAATCATCCTCTGGCGCAAAACTCCCCATACTGGCTCTGCGACCGGCGCAGCCGCCCTGACCCTTATTATGTCGAGCAAGAGCATCACCGCGCGCGAACCGACGCCCACACTTCGGACAGATATGTGGACGCTCTCCGGTATGAAGCTTCGTATGTCTCTTGAGATCATGGAGCCTCCGAAAGCGCGACTGGCAAGTCTGACATACGTATGGCTTCTCCTGGCTGTGGGTGAGAAGATGGCTCTTGAGGTTATGATGTCTGGTGAACTCGGTGGCACAGTAAGGACAACGATGCTTTTTGGCCGACGGTGATCGCTGGCCGCTTTTTTGGAACCCAGAATTGGGTAGACTGAGACCCCGGCGGGCATCGCCGAGATGGCCCGTAGGCATTGGGTAAGAGAAAGCCTTATTACTACTCTCCTGCATATCTGTGTCGTCTCGATGGCGCGGGCGATCACCGTCCTGAGAGGTAGAATCCTCTATGGGGCCCGGACTGGCCACAGTCGGAGCGGCCATTAGGGTCGAGCCGCTATCGGCAGTACCAAAAGTATCGGGGACGCTACCCGAGGTATGCGCCGAATCGACTTGCATATGGTCCGACGACATAGGCATAGAGTCGTGGATAGAACCGACATTTTGCTTTTCGCTAGCACCCAGAGCCTCTCTTGCTACCAGCGAACTGTTCTGCTCGGACGCCTTTTCCGATTCCTGTGATCGGTCCATCGGACCGTCTGTTGGTGCAGTGGTGGACATCTGGGGTAACGATTCCCTCGACCTCGTAACGTTTAGTCCGGCGCTGGCGATGGACGTCAAGCTCGAATCTTGCTTCGATGGCTTCAGAAACGCGACGGATTCGGGCGGGCTCGAGATGAGCGAGCTAGGCGTTCCGGACAAGGGATTCGAGATGGCAACCGGCTCGTTAGTCGATTGCGTCAATGCAGCCATGGATAACGGATGCTTGTTGCCAGCCGGAAACGGATGACGAATGAACGGGAAAGCTACTTGCACGGAAGTCATGTCAGTGAATGAATATCTCTTTTTGAGTTCGACGGCTACAGGAAGAACGAAGGGATCTTCAAGTCGGCAGGCAGCAAAGGGGGTCCATTGAACGAGACGAAAAGGCTTCGACCAAAGGAAGATGATATCCCAAGAACAAGAGTCAAGTAGCACAGAACGACGAGTAATATCATTATATTGAGAAGCACCGTCGCGTGGGGCGCTCACCTGGAACCGAGTGTGGCGCAAGCTGACGGGAGTGGGAAGGTCAGCTTTCGCAAACGCCTTGTCAGACGATCTGGGACCCCACGATGAGAAGTATGGACCCGGTGGCAGTGTAAAAATAGTGACTGAGCCTTGCAAGCCGGATGAGCGCCTCTGATGGATGCTGAAATCTCTATCAGGATTCGGCTAACCCATCGGGTGGGAAGAGATTTGAGGAGTGTGGCGGGCGTGCAGGCGGAATGGAGAATGCTTATTTGGGCTGTAAATAAAGCTCGAGGCAACGACTGATTTGAAATACAATGGAAACGAATGTCGTGCAGGCGGATCGACCCCTTTCAGATGTACAAAACAGCAATATCGCATAAATTGTCCACCAGAAAGAGACAAGTGCAGGCAAGGCAGAGGAAGAAAATCGGGGGACAATGCAGTGCACAGAACAAAAGTAGCGTACAAATGGAAGGGAAGAGAAGGATCTAATCGGAGGCCTTAGGTTGACAGAAGGGATAGCTTGAACAGCAGACAGTTCAGGATGGTTGCGGATTCCAATATATTCCGTTTTTGAGTAGTAGTAGTAGTAGTTGTTGTTGTTGTTGCCGTATGGTAGTAGATGGTTGAGGAGGAAAAAAGATGGAATGACTGGATGGACCGAATGAATCGAAGAATGAATTGATCAATTGATGGATTATTGATGGATCGATGGATTGGTAGGTAGAGGTTATGTTTTTGGCTACTGTTACAGTAGAAAGCGGAGATAGATTCTCTCTCGGTCTCCCAGTCTCTCTCTGAAGGCGAACACGAGGATCCAAAGGACAAAAAGTGGCTGGAGAGGGGGAAAGGTACGTATTTGGGTTACCGTATGGATGCTGGGGCTCTGAAGTTAGTGTGTCGACGTACCGGATCTGTGGTATCTCCGGCTGACATTTTGATGTAATGATGTAAGGTACTGTCACGTAGGTTAGTTTATGGCTAAGGCTAATTCTTGTCGCCAAGAATTACGTGACAGTCTTCCTTTCAGTAATTATGCCAGAATATCTACTCTGTTTCGAATTATGGAAGATTACTAGTTAAGGGAATAACTTCTGTTTTGCGATGATTCGTAAGGTTATTTGTTAGGAGCAATGAAAAGAGCGACGTCTGCCTAGATATTGTGTAGGAATTTGAAGACGCAGCACAGCCATGTTCTAGAGCCGCGTATCCATCGACACAGGACGGAGTAGGTATCCACTGGTACGGTTGTTCCGTAGAACCTCGACGGGAATCATCGAGAATGACATCAATGTCCATTTTACTCTGCATGTATGTGTACCTCTTTACTCTGTCTGTACCTTTTATCTCCCTTACCTACATTGCATTGTGCGCGTGCATTCACACCTCTGTCAGTGGCACTGGACAGAACAAGCGCGATTTCCAAAGATGAGGCTGAATCCATCCCTGGAGCAGTGTGGCTGGCGAACCAATGTGATCATAGTGCAAAGACGAGTCAAACCTGATTTGATTTTTAGCAGACAGTGGGGCACCCCTTTGAGGTGGCTGTACACTCTGTCCTGAAACTCCGGGGCAACAGAATCATCATAAAGTATGATAAGTATCTATCTAGTTATAACTTCTTAATGCCGTCCCTCTCTATTATATGTGCAAGATGACACTGCAATACCAGGCTCAAGAGTCATGCCTCAGAGGCTCCTCCTCGGTCCTTTAGACGATCACCTCCTGCGTCCTGTAGACAGCGTCCCAGTCTTCGATCCACCTTCAAATACTTGCGCTTAAATGTCATTTTCCCAATGTCCACTTCTCAGCATCAACATTATATATAATATGTAACTTACACAGTCCGACGTATCCACGTTATTCATAACAGCCATCTTATGTTCTTCAACAACCACTGCAGCGAGCTTCATGACCTGACATCACCTGGAAACTACGGCATGGACCATCTTCATCCACTTTGGTACATTTCATGCTAGTATCCAAGGTACCTCTGCTGGTAAATGCCTTGCATTATTACTTTATATCCCCATAGCTCTCACCCAAGTTGGCTGGAATCATCCTTTCAAGATTCGACGAGCGGTCATGAGCCGAAAAGTACATAATCCAAAGTATTAAGAGGTAAGCAAGCTACTACAGCTCTGAGAGGCCTCTAGCAAGAGAGATGCCAACCGGGTTAGTTGTGGTTAAGTATGTCGCCTGAAGACAAACTGCCAATAACCAAGAATCCTGAGTGTCAGCTTTTCAAAGTACAGAAGTACTCATCCTCATTAATTAAACGGATATTTTGAGAATGACTTGTGAATCAGTAAGCTGACGGACCATGGATGCGATCGATGTTGACTAAATCATGGGCGCTTAGTGTACCTAATGATATAGACTACCAGACTCGATCGAAAGCAGCATCATACCATGGTCGTGATGGAAATTAATATGATGGATTTTCTGGACGAGCCGCTAGACAGTTGAACGAGTCTAACGAGGAGACAGGTTGCAGTAGACGGATTTTGACAGCGGTTCTGCAGCCATCATGGTTGGCTGGGCAAGGGACGATCAGTTTTGGCGCCGGGGAAGTGTCGAAGGGAGACGAAGAGAGAACCACATTAGATGCGATGAGGACTCGTCTCATTCGCTCTTCTTGTGACACGGCCTGCATCGTCAGTGGTAGATAAAAGGCTGGTTTAACACACACTTTGATCCTCTCCACTGTGATAAGTCAGGGCTGTTGCGCTAGTGACCATGCTCTGCATCCAGTCACCTCCTCATCCTGCACTTTTGTTCCTTCGACATATTAACCTAGGGTATCTGGGCGCGTCCCTGACTTTACGCGGCATCATCTTTCCTCCAATCACTCCGGTCGGCCTTGACTGTGCTGCATGTTGCTAAGCGCTCACACCTGCGCCTTCACACGGCCCGGATCGAATCAAGCTAAAGATGGGTTCCCCCGCCCAACTTCGAGCGAAGATGACGGCCAGCCCAGAGCTCATGATTGATATTCGGGGCGATCACGCCAATCTGATTTCAATCAATCGATTTCTTCCCTCTCCTGCCGCTGCTACTACTGCGTCGGTTGAGTATAGAAGTTGAAGCTGTGCCGGTACCTCTGAAGTGAACAGAGCACTCAAAGTCAACTACTCTTACGGTGAGTCGTCTTCGCTAGTCAAGCTGAAGAACGCTCCAGAGGCTAATTCTCTGCATAGACGGATCTTGCAATTATCGTCTGTCTGATCGACTTGACTATCAAGTGAGTGTTAACGTCGCTTTCGACCCCTGATATTCGCTTCTCATCATCTGTGATGCTGCTCAATGAGTGTAATACTGATTTCAGTTTTGCAGCAAATGGAAGCCTTCCTCCACTAGTCAACAGCAGGTCTGAGCCTACACATTGACCGCAGCTCACCGTTTGGCTGTGTATTCGTACTTTAGCAAACACAGTTCCCGAAAACGCCAGGGGCAAACACCTGTCTTATCCAAGGTTGAGAGCTGGTTCTCTTGGCCTCTGCTGGACTTGTCAATCAATCATCTTAGTCCTGTATTGACCTGGCTCATCAATGTCGGTCTCCAGTGAGAGCCAGAGCAATTCTCCTCACACCTACGAAGCTGTTTCTCCCGTTGATATCGTGCGTGGTCACAATCACTTCCCAATGACAGCCTCTTCGCAACCGGGTGGAGCTCGGACGGAGCGAAGCTCCTCTGAATCCTCTGTTTCCTCGTCACTCAGGAGTCCTCGCACCGCTCGATTCGCGGAGGCAACATCGGTGCACTCCCCTACCGAAGCCAGGGGTGCTTCTACATCTCCGTTCGCGGACCCGCCGGGACATTCACGAAGTCAGCCCGATGTGTCTGACGTGGGCTTTGGTTATGTCGCAGCTAGCGATCCTGCTCAGCATGCATCGCATCAGCTTCCCCCAGCATCACCTCTCAAGAGCGCCCTCAAGGTCCCAGGCACTCCTGGGCGGACTCTGAATCCCCTGAGTCCTACTTTTCGGGAAGAATTTTTTGTGGAGAAGCAAGAAAAGGCTACTGAGAAGGAGAATGCGAGAGACCTGGTAAGCGGACCCCAAGAATCAGCAAACTACTCCCGATCATTTATGCTCACACACTGCTCGCAGCGAATCAAACTACGCGTGCGTTTCGCCAAGATATTCCTTCGTTTTGTCAACTTCGGTTGCAGTCTGATCGTGCTCACTATACTGGCAACGACTCTGACGATATTCCACGCGTCGAAACATCTTCCTCCTCGTAACAATTTACCCCCCTGGGCGAAAGGGACGAACCCATGGCCGCAGTACCTCCTTCTGACATTGGCTTGCATCTCCCTGTTTTCGTGCCTGGTTGTCTTCTGGGCGTATTGGAAGGGTGGCCACAAGCGCGCTGAGAAGGTCGCAGTCTATTACACAGTCTTCTCAGTCTGCTTCTTCACATTCAGTCTAATCATGTGGATCGTCGCAGCAGCCATCTATCAGAATTCCAAGGCCAACGGCAATGGTCAAGACCTCTGGGGCTGGTCGTGCAAGCAGAACCTTCGAGAGCAGTTATTCCATAACGATATCGATTACGCGCTGCTGTGCCGTCTCCAGGTAAGTCGAATTCCTTCTCCCAACTAGTCTTCGACGAGGCTGACTGGAACAACTCCCAGGACTGGGGCTTGGTTTGCGCCATCATCGAGGTCGTGATTGAAGTTCTGGTCATTCTCATCTATGCGGTTGTCTTCTACCGATTCTACACCAAGCGACGCCTTGCAAGGTCAATGGACCGCCGTGACAAGGCCAGGTCGGATCTATACCTGGCCCAGCTCCGGCTGCAGTCTGCCCCCAATACCCCCGGCTTCGCCAACATGCCCAAGTCACCCTTCGTGTCCGTCCAACCGACCCAGGATTCCTACTCGGCCGCCGAGAACGGAGAGATGTACTCGACGCAGTTCGCAACACCCCGGTCGCCGACGACGCCCCAACCCACGTTCCAGCTGCAGCCGCCTCCCATCCGTGTACAGCAGGCGACTCCAAAGATGGAACAAGGAGAATTCTCGGCGCCGGCTTCAGCTCAGAATATTAATAAGCATATGACTGCCGCCCCTGGCGAGCGGACCTACGAGGCCGTCCCTATCCCGGAAGCATACACAAGCCCCATGAGTCCCAACTTCCCTCCGAATGTTCGCCATTAATCAACAATAATGGCTGGGCAAAAGAAAAAAAAAAAAAAAAGAAAAAAAGCACGTGATCCTGAGAACGCTACGCCGCAGGGGTCGCTCGAGGCTGTATTTATTAGCACTTCTCATTGACAAAGCCTACTGCTTCACCTGGAATTATATTTCCAACTCTCCGCTGTTTCTCAGTCAGGGGACTCTGCGAACCGATCCAAAATTGGAATACTGATTCTCTTGGATGGTATGCTATGATTAATGCTCCTGTCTTTAGTCTCTTCTCGTCTGTCCGTTTTTACATTCTATATACCACTATGCATTGCTTATCATTCCTTTAACATCTGCTTTTTCTACTGATCGTTTCAATCATATTGAGATTGAGTGCAATGGCCATCTGTCCAAGCCCCGTATATGTAGCTGCGTGTGCTCAAACGCGGGTCCCTCTAGGTATCTCTCGACAAGGCTATGTCCTATGTCGTGCGAAGGACGAGACTATCAATTCTGGCTGATCATTTTACTGAGCATTTATGATTGCCATTTGCAGAAATTTGGCACCGAGCTCTTAAAGGCCATAAAATATGGAAGACAGACATACATCATCAAAAAGGTCAATCGGCTGAAAACCTACGGTAAATAACAATATAAATTCCACCAACTCCTCCGCAAGTGTAGCCCCGAGCATCCCTATCCATAATCGGCGAAATTTCCTCATGTAGCACTTCGTACCATCCTGAATGAACAAGGTATTCAAAGAATATACAGCATCTTCGTCCCCTGACGTTTATCCGGGTGGACCATCAAATTATCGGTTCAAGCAGACGCTTCGTCAATAACAGCATTCACGTCTTTGGCAACATAAATCTCTTCTAATGAGCCCGCGCCAGCGCCCTCGGACAGACCATCGTTTTGCAAGATGAGGCCTTGCTCGTTGGCCAAGTGGAGAAGACAGATAAAGCCAAAAGAGGTGCTGATGTCACGAAGCTTCTCTGGCGGATAGACCGTTTTGAGGGAATTCATGATCTGCGTGAAGCGTAACCGACGGTCTTCCTTCGGTTCTTCCGAGCCGTCGACCGGCTGCGGTCTTTGGGGTGTGGGTGTTGGCGGTGCATCAGGCTCGGTCTCATTATTTTGTACATGATTGACATCGTTCCCAGCGCTTGTTTGTGGTATGGAATCAAATTGTGTGGATGCAATCAACCTTTCGCCCATGCCCTTCCACATCTCTTGTTTCAGTCTCCGCACGTCGATTTTCTTGGCGACTCTTGCATAGGCGACATATTCAGGTCGCGCTCGCCGTCCGCCTTGTGTCACCAATTGCGAGCCAAAGCCCCCAGCGCCCGGCTTGGGCGTCGCCCCTACCATGTTGAGGAGAGCAGCAATACCCGTAGCTCCTCCTGCATCCCCTGCTGTTGTGCCTGGAGCCCCATCAGCTGGTGGGGACAGCATCTCTCGCGCATCTGCAAAGGGCAGGTTGTCGTCGTCATCGTCGGCGATACCGAGCCCGTTCGGGAACGCGAGACCATCGTCGTCCGCGAAGAAGTCGGCATCATACGCGCCAGGGGCAGCATCCTCGTCGGCAGCCGCTTCCTCCTCCTGCTTGCGACTGGCCCAGAAGGCCTCATCCATTTCCCCATTAACCGCGGTCCGGTCCTGTCGTCGGCTGTTATATTGACGTAGGCCCACCAGTTTCTTCGAGCCCATGCGAGCCTTAGGTTTGAGGAAGAGACGGAGTAGCTGTCTGGAGTTGAAGTGTTTGTCGTCTGGTAGCAGATTCCGCCCTTTGGTTCTCCACTGTGTCTTGGGCAGGGAAATGGTGGAGTTGGAACTAGCCGGGGTATAAATCAATTCAGCGACGGTTGGATCGAGAGGTGCCGCGAAGTCGATTTCAAACGGCTCCTTTTCCTTCCGCTGCTTCGGCGCTGCAGTTGCAGAGCTGGCAGCCGCGTGTTCCTTGATACGCCGAATCTTCCAGTGCTCAGGACCCGCCCAGTTCTTCTGAAGTGCATTGTCAAAATAGCTGAGAATGTTCTCATGGTCACGCTTATCTGGTTGATGAGTAAGCGTTATAGCATACCCATCTTCGTCGTCCATTGCCTCATCGCCGTCCTGATTCTGATCGCCATCACGGTCAATGCGATGGACTTTCAGCATTGGCTCCAGGGCAGCCTCACGGGCCCATGCCTCACCCCCATCACCAAAACCGGCATCTTCACTAAGATCGAATCCAGCTAGAGTACCATCGTCGTCGTCAAAGCCGACAGCGTTGTCGTCGTCGAGCATAATCCCAGAGGCATCGTTTACGCCTCGTCCGTCCTCGTTGCCTTTCTCATTGCGCCATTCTTCAGGCGCCTTGAGAAAGGGAATATCGAGTGATCCGGTGGGATCGCCAAGGTCGAAGTTCTTGAGGGACGGACAGATATCCTGCTCGTCGAGGCGCGCCAAATCGGGGAAAAATTGGTTCGCTAGTGGCGTTATATCAATCTCAACGTCTTCAAAAGCATCATCAGAAGATCGCATCGGAGCCGGTGAAGAGGACTTCGGGTGTTCAGGGTCCTCCGAGTCTTCGCGAGTATTGTCCGCGTCATTTGGGCTTTCCTCAACAGCGTCGTCGCTGCTGTCAAAGACGATACGTCCCTGCCCATCTATCGACAAGTGGTTCAGAAGCAAGCCTTTTGCCCCTCCCTCGTCGAAATCTGCGGAGGCTTTCTTGAATAAAGGGTCAACTGAGAATTCCAGCTCAAACTTTTTCAGCTGAAGCGCGGCAAAGGAAGGCGCAAGCGTAGCCTCGTGTGTTCTCTGGGCCTGGTGAAGTCAGAATCAGACCGGTTCCAAGTCAGTGAAGCGGTTATACTGTTCTCCGTACCTTTCTCCGCGACTTCCTGGTGGTTCCATCTTCCCCTTCCTCGTCGTCCTCGTCATCACCCTCACCGTCCGCGCCAGCGTCACGACCCCGCTTCTCACGGCTGTCCGCCAGCCCACTTAGGAGTTTACCTGTTTCCGTCGCGACGCTGTCGACTCTGCTTGTATAAATCTTTACGCAACCATCGAGCGTGCAGCTGGCCTTCTGAAAGTTGACACCATCGCCTTCCTTGAGTAGAGACATATCATGGAAGTAGTCAATCAGAGCAAAGTTCCAGGAGTTGTTCGCGTTGATCTTGTTGTCCGTGGCCATCTTCATCCATTCCTCGAAGTTTGCCAAGATAGGGACCCGTTTCATTGGGGTCACCGCTCGTCGTCCATCAGCATCGCTCTCTCGTCCGCGGTGTCCTGATCCCCTAGGGGTACCGGGACTCATACTCGAAGCGCGGTCATATGTGTATCGTCGAGGAGGCATTGGTGTCTTGACGGCAGCCTTGATCTGATCCATCTGGCGGTCATGGCGGGCTTGTCGAGCCTCCAAACGGGCGGCCTTCTCCCCCGTGTCATCGTTCAAAGGGATCCTGAGCTCGTCAATATCGTCTTCTCCTTTGCGTTCTAAAGCGCCATTCAATTTTTGAGTTCTTACTTCATAGGCGAGTTTTTGTGAGGCGTTGATGCGCCATTTGAGCGGCGATGTTTAGGATTTGCTACGCGGGGCATGGCGAATGGTTACCCCAGCAGTAAGGGATAACTGATGGCCACCTGAGAGAAAATAAGAGAAGATCGGAGGATAGGAAAGATATTAGCAATCTCAAAAGCTGTGCTTCATTTCTTGATGATAGATCCACGGGCTTCGACGGTCCAGATGTGTGATGTGATGGCGCTGGGTCTCCTCTTTTCGTGCTGATTTCCTCTTTTGGCCGGACAAGAACAAACAACATCAACAAAAACATACGCCAGGCCAGAGCAACCACTTCTGCAATCACTAGCCTCATCGGGGTAGAAAGTCACCTGACCTAATGTCGTCAACACATTACCTTATTTCATTACCGTCTGTATTTCACTGACTCGTTCCCGTAATATATTCTTGGTACGTTTATGTACCTCTACCGTACCCGTTTCATGACGCCTGTCCAGATACACAAGTAGGTATGTAGATGACCTCCGATACAGATTATCTTTAAGTCATGATATTATTCTTTTCTATAATACCTAATGGACTTTGCTCAGTTACCAAGCGAGATTCTCCTTATGAATGACTATGGGACTGACATGATGCTTTGATGACTGGATGACTGTAGCATCGCCTCCGCCACAACACAGCCACACTCCCAGCTTTTTGGCTTGACATCACTCGTTGGCTGCCGTGTAGACGTGTTCTAAGGTATCGAGGTACCTTATCCGTCCGCATCTGCTTATCTATGTTGGGCTACGTAGGACATGGAGACATGCCCATCGTCTCTCCACCAGCCGATCTTGCCTCATCCACCACCACCATCCATTTACACACGGTCTGGATCTTCGTTTCTCAGTCCGTTGTGTTGCTGCCTTCTCGTCCTTTCTTATATAGGTCCAATCGCTAGATGATCCCCCGCAATTTCTTCCTTTGCCAACTTCCCTACTGCTCATGATGCCGCAGTGGTCACTATGGCAAGCAACCTGACTTTGTACCCAAGACGATCACCGATCCGTCAGAAACGTCCCTATTCTGTTCGACCGTTCTATTGGGCTTTTCTGACGTTAATCATTCTTTCGGTGATCCGCTGGTCTCTGGGGAACTTGAACAATCCCCCGGCAGCATCTTCCCCGCTTCATGTCAAGCGAGGAGCGGACGTCCTGCAAAGCAATGATGAGCCAGAGGTACGAATACAGAACATTTTCCTTCGCAGATATGCTAATAAATCTTATTTTTTGACAGTGCCGTTTGGTCCGTCAAGCCAAGGATCAATGCTCCTTCGTCCGTGCCAATTGCTCCGACCTTGAGGATGGATTACTCTCATATATCCAGCTGTACTATTGCACATTTGCGAACGCCAAACCTATAGCTTTCATCGTCCTCATCTTGTGGCTATCCTTGCTTTTCAGCACCATAGGTATTGCTGCAAGCGACTTCTTGTGTATAGATTTGAGTACCTTGGCCAGCATTCTCGGGATGAGTGAGAGTTTGACCGGTGTCACATTTCTCGCATTTGGAAATGGCAGCCCCGATGTCTTCTCGACGTTTGCTGCCATGAGGTCAAACAGCGGTAGCCTGGCCATAGGGGAGCTGATCGGTGCTGCGAGCTTCATTACGTCGGTAGTGGCAGGCTCCATGGCCCTGGTTCAGCCGTTCAAGGTTGCCCGGCGGAGCTTCGTCCGGGACGTGGGATACTTTGTCATTGCTGTCAGCTTCAGTATGGTTCTTCTAGCTGATGGAAGGCTTCATGCCTGGGAATCGGCAACTATGGTTGGCCTGTATTGTTTCTACGTGGTCTTGGTTGTCACTTGGCACTGGTACCTTGTACGGCGCCGTCGGGCCTACGAGAGGAATTTAGCTGCGCGGGCTCACTTCCACATCCCAGAAAACCAAGAGTTGGAAATTGAAGAAGAGGTGGAAGAGGACCCCGGCGTTGCGTCGGAGTCGAGAAGTCTTCTCCGCGGACCGTCGACCGAAGATTTCGACGCATTGCAAGGATCCGATTTGCCGGCTTGGAAAGATGGTGACGAGGATGATGACGCGCGCAACCGCTATCTCGCTGAAATAAGTGAGAATATGCATGTATTCCGCCCCTCTACGCGCAGGCGCAACACCTTCAATCCCATCAGGCCCAGCCTCGTTGGGGCGCTGGAGTTCCAGACCGTACTCTCTTCGCTGCAGAAGTCCCGTAACATCAATCGGGGCACACCCATTGGGCTCGACAGATATTTTGATAATCCAGAACTTGCGCGCGCGCCTTCACCACTCCAGGACAATTTATCAGTCGCATCCCATCCCCGAACAAGCAGACCCTCCGGGAACAACCGTCTTCTATCGCCGAATAGTGCAGCAGGCTCCTCTCGAGTTCGTGCTGTGTCTGCCAACGATGCTGCGGGGCTTAAGCTGGATACCAGCGTCTTCACTTCCGGCACGCCACAGCCTCGTGTGACCGTTAGTCGACCTTCCGGAACCGAAGAGACGTTTCAGCCTCAGATATCCCAAACTGACCAGACCTCAGCAACTCTGTCATTACCATCCTCTGGCAGACCCTCGCGGGATTCAAGTATAGCAGGTGCCGCCCGGTCTGCCAGCCCCGATTTACTTGCACCACCAGGTACCTTCCACTCACCAAACTACCAGGCGGACTCTCCCCTTACGCGGTCCCCGCTGGACGTCTCCCCACTAGGGACTTCATATGCCACGCGCGGAGCTAAAGTTGCTCCGGAAAGTCCCTCCAGCCCGTTTCCTGCTTTTCCAGACGCCATCGATTCCATGCAATCAAGGGCGCCAAGCATACGTCTTCCGGCCCCTGCCAGCCCTACAGAGACGTTGCAAGTTCATGACAACGACTTTGAGGATGAAGGTCATCGGTCGTCATTGCTTTCCCCATGCTGCATCGCGAGGTCCGTTATGCCGGTGCTCTTCCCGACCTTGGTTGACTGGAGGACCAAGAGCCTCCTAGAACGACTGTTGGGGGTCGTTGCAGCGCCAAGTGTGTTACTACTCACAATTACTCTTCCTGTTGTGGAACCAGCACAACCTGAAGGAGAACCCGCGCGTAATATATTACCCTCTGCGGACGGTGGAGAGTCGGCAGCACCCCGAGTGAGACTGCCGGAAGACAGCCCACTTATTCGAACTTTAGACCGTGATCTGGGCGATCAGGATGTGGGTTCGCTCGCGGGCAAAGCTCAGTCGCTACAAGAAAGGCGACGATGGGACTCCGAATTGCCTGCCCTCGAGCCGCCAACCCAATCAGCTTCTCAGCCGAAAGATTGGTGCCAGTGGCTGCTTTGCGTACAGCTCTTCATGGGGCCCTTTTTTGTCGCCTTGATCGCATGGACTACGATGGATCCCGAAATGAAAGCCCGCAATCTGCTCCTCTCAACCTTGTGCTCCCTTCTTTTCTCATTTCTATGTCTTGCTTGCCTTGTGGTGAGTACAAGGAATGGCCACTCCTCGCGGCCTTCCTCTTTTTGGCGCCCCTTCCTGGCCATGTTGGGCTTCGTAGTCGCAATCTTTTGGATCGCAACCATAGCCACGGAAGTGGTCAGCCTTCTCAAGACTTTTGGGGTCATTCTGAATATTAGCGACTCCCTCTTAGGGCTTACTGTGTTCGCTGTGGGGAACTCGCTTGGTGATCTTGTCGCCGATATTACCGTTGCCCGCCTAGGATACCCAGTCATGGCTTTGAGTGCCTGTTTTGGAGGACCGATGCTAAATATCCTGTTGGGAATTGGCCTGGGCGGTCTTTACATGACCGTGAAAGCGAAGCCAGAAACGAAAGCCGTTCGTCAGGGTTCTTACGAGATTGCTATCTCTAAGGTCCTGGTCATTAGTGGCGCTACACTTCTGACTACTTTGCTCCTTTTGCTGATTGTCGTTCCATTGAATAATTGGAGAATGGATCGAAAAATCGGCTGGGGTCTGATCATTTTATGGGCCTGCAGCACGTTAGGGAACGTAATCGCTGAGGTCCTTAACTAGCCTTGAGCCTTGGCTTCTCCCTTCTTTTGGTGATTTTTGTTCTTGAGTTTTTCTTGAGTTTTTCCTTGGATACCACTCTTACTCATGCTTGGGTTTGGCGCCTACCTGCGACCCTTGTACGTTTACTTTGCAATGCTGTCTACTATTTTGAGCAATGACTTCTGTCATGTATGAATATACTTTCTTTTGGCCACGACTGCAGTTGAGCGCGTCTATCCGACGGTCGCTTAATTTATGAGCTGTTTATCTTCAAAGTTGACGTCGACTGAAAATACAATTTCTGGCCGACTATGATTAGTTACAATTGAAGCGACAGAGATCGAAAGACAAGCAAGCAGATAACGCTATAAGTTCTTTCTACGGTATATGGATTTCCAATTCACAATATACAGTCCCTGATATTCACTGGCAAGACATCGCTGGCACGTGCGTCAACTGGCCTTGAATCTAGTCAAGCACACGACCGGCACTTGAGCTCGTGCTCCGATCATTGGTTTGGACCTTCCGAAGTCCTTTGCCCATTTGAATTGAGGCCAAGAGCGCGCTACGATCGGGAGCTCCTGCAGGCGTAGGCGGGCCACCGGCAGCCGGAGGAGCCGGCGGTGGTGGAGGGCCTGGGGGCGGTGGAGGGCCTGGAGGTGGCGCAGGTGGTGCCATAGGTGGTGCCATAGGTGGTGCAGGAGGTGGGGGTGGTGCGACGGATGAATCATAGCTGGGCACTGCCGCTGGTGGGGGAGGAGGAGGTGGCGGAGGAGGGGCAGCAGGTGCAGAGAGGCTGCCGTTCGGCTCAGGCACCGGGAGAGAGGTAACTGGGCTGTCCTGCACTGGGGTCGACGACTTGGAGGGCGATTTGTCATCCATAGCACTCAAAGGTCGTGGTGGTGCCATAGTACCAAACAGAATACTTGCGAGTTGTTTAGCACTACCACCTCCTGGCCGCTCGTCGTCGTCATCGTCAGACGAGTCGAACTCAGACCCTGCAGCAGACCAGTCATCGTCTGCTTCAGGACGCGCGCGAGATTTGCGCTCCAGAGGCGCGGATCCAGTAAAAACAGGTTTCGAACTCTCCTGCTGTGCGAGACGATGGAAAGGATTGGTCGAGTGTACATCAGCCCTGGGGGAGGTGACGTTGGGTTGCGGCGCGGGTGGAGGAGAGACCACTTGTGTGTCAGCGGCCTGGTGCGTTATCTTGAAGTACGGATTTTTGGACTCTGTCTCTGAGCTGAAGCCCACAGGCGGAGCCTGAGAGGAAGTGTCTTCGGGACTGCCAGCCTGCTCGGATTCTGGTGCAGAAACCGGAGCCGCAGGAGTCACTGTGGGGAGTAATTGGCTCTGGGTCGGTGTGCTGTCCTCAGGCGTGATGTTCGCTGGTCCTTCGTCATCAGATGAACTCTCCTCATCGAGACCTTCCAATTCTAGTTGAAGCTGCCGCTCTCGTTCCTTGGCCCTCTCGATCTCAGCGCGCTGAGCTGCAAGTGCGGCTTCCTTTTCTTTGGCCAGCCGTTCGGCTTCTTCTTTGCGACGCTTCTCCTCTTGCTTCCGGATCTTGCCTTGCCTGACTTGCTCCTCCAGTGCACGGAGACGAGCTTCTTGTGCCTCTTTCTCCTTGAGGAGTTCCTCCTCACGCTGCTGAGCTTCCATTCTGCAGGAGAGTGAGAGCATCGTTAGCCAAATGTACCTTGAAGCAACAATGGTAGGGTGATGGGTCTTACTCGAGGCGATTCGTCTCCTCTTCTTGTGCCTGTTGCTCCTCCCTGATAGCTTGTTCGCGGGCTGCCTGTTCCGCAGTAACCGTTTCTTCTGCGGCCTTTTTCACTTCAGCCTGGCCCGCGCTGTCCGTGCGGCCTCGGCGTGAAGGCGGAGCTGGGGGTGGCTTCTTGCCCACAGGTTTGGCAGGTGCGTTAGAAGTGCTACGCTGCTCCTCAGCCAAGCGACGTTGTCTCTCTTGCTCTCTCTTCGCGTCTTCCTCCTCTGCTTGTCGCAGACGCTCCTCTCGCTCCCTCTTTTCCCGCTCCTGGCGCTGCAGAAGGGTCTCAGAGGTGTCAGTGTGCGGTTTCAGACCGGCAGCCGCCATGCGCTCCGCGATACGTCTTTGGGCACGCTCTCTAGCTGCAGCCACTCGGTCCTCATGAGTGGATCCCGGTAACGAACCTGCAGAACCAGCGGAAGGCGCAGGGGACAACCGAGAGACACCGGCGGACGGCTCTTCGTGCCGGAGTCGCTGCTCAGAAGCTCTTGATTCCCTGCAATTGTTATTTCGAGCTCGATTAAGGTATGTTTTAATACGGTTTTGTCACTTACTCTTCCTTACGGACGTGTGCCGTTCGGCTGCCTCGTTGCAGGTCGTAGATGAAGTCCCGAATGACGTCCTCAACCCCCAAGGCATCCTCCCATCGACGCCGTTCATGCTCACGTGTCGAAGTTTCACCCTCTTCCTTGAGGCTATCTTCAAGACTGCGGGTAAACTCCCTCACGCTCTCCTCGACGTCACGCGTCATGGCCTCATTCTTTTCTCGGTCTGCTCGAATACTGGTACTTTCAGCCTCCAACCTGCGAGCCGCAGCTCCATCATCGTCCACTGAAGCAGGCACTGGTCTGCCAGCAAGTTCAGCGGCCCGTGCCTGCATCCTTGCGCGGGCGCGGGCCTTGATACGATCCGCCTCCGTAACGGTGCCACCGGGTCCTGTTCCAACGATGTTGGCAGCACTATTTGGATGTGCCTTTGCGTCCTTCAAGCGGAAGAGTTCAAGTTTGGCATCGGCAATCTCACGTTCAATACGGCGGACCTCTGATGCGACCTGAGGAACCTGGTCCTCGAAGGCTTGAAGCTGACGACGCAAGGCTCTCCTTTCGGCGCCATTATCCAGGTTACGGAAGGCTGCATTAGGATGGGTGTCGATATCGTCCTGAACGCGACGGGTTCGATCCATGAGGCTTTCCGCTTCCAGACGATCACGGCGATCCAAGACCTCATCCTCCTCGGCTCGATTTTCATCATTGAAATCCACAGCATCAAGCATAATCTGAGTCTCCCGGATCTTCTTCTTCAGCTGCTCAACAGACAGCTCCTCCTCGGATGCCTGAGAGGCAGCGGGAGATGATGGCCGGGCATCATTACCCATACGACGACGAGCGCTAGACCGGTAACCAGCAGCAGCCTCGTCATTATTCTTAAAGAGAGTGGCATCCTTGCGGCCGAATCCTGGAGACCTTGCACCGCCACGGAATGAGTGCTCCTTGAGGTAACTCACACCCGTCTTCTGAGGTTGCAAAAATGCGCCAGAAGCTTTGCGATTCTCTGCATCCTGAGACAGTAGAGACTTGACTGCGCCTATTGAATCATTCAAGTTCCTCGTTGACGGAGGAATTAGCTCAGGGGGTAGACGATTCGGGACTGGATACCCGTTGAGTTTTCTGTAAATCAGGTGCATGGCTACGGCGAATTCGTCCATGTTCAAACGGCCTCGATTGTTGGGGTCAGCAAGCGTCCAGATCCGCTCCAAATCTTTGCGATCCAGGCCACTTTGTCCCATAATTTCGATGGCGGTATCGCCGCCTATGAAGCCCTTATGGAAGCCATCCCATGCTCGGAAGAGATCATCGTAGATTTTCTTCTCCTCCTTTGTGATTGCCCAGGGAATACTAGCATTGCCAGAGAGACCGGCTGTCGTAAACCCGCCCTCACGACCAGGCTGAGGCATGAGTTGCTGTTTCAAGGCCTCGATGTTGGGCAAACCCGACGACGGTGCGTTAACAAACCCCCATTGGCCGGGAATGCCAGTCGGCTGAGCAACCAATCCGCCTGTCTGCATTGAACTAAGATTCGAGCCAAACCCGGTAGGCATAGGCGGAAGTGGGGGACGGGGACCATTGTAGCCTGTAGCTTGAGGATTGGTCATTAAACCTGTTGGCTGGGGCTGTAGATACTGCTGCTGAGACTGTCCGGGGAAGCCTGTAGCCTGTGGGGCGAGAGCTGCGTTCGCTCCAAGAAGAGAGGGTTGATTGGGCTGCAACCCGGTCGCTTGAGGACCAAAGCCTGTGGGCTGCGCAGCAAGTTGCGAAAGAAACTGTGCATTCGATGGCTGCTGCGGCTTAGGATGCTGGGGAGCCGGGGGAGCAGATTTGTTCTCCAATAATGGAGCATCGAAGCTGGGAACGTTCGTTCTTGCAGAGGCTTGCGGCTCTGTGTCGGGAACCCCAAACGAGATGATATCCACCATACTTGAAACCTCATTCTTGATCTTGTCCGGTAGAGTCGCTGGAAGTTCTCGACCCGTGATCCTCAAATTGCAGAGGTACATGGCTAAAGCAAATTCGGGGAAGAATAATTGCCCAGACTTGGTGGTGTCGGACAGAACCCTGGATTGAATAATCAGCTTCACGATCATCCTTCAGAACAATTGGCATTTTACCCACCATATTTTCGACAATTCACTGCCGGGAAGTCTCGAACGTAGAAGTAGCTCCTTAGCTTTTTCCCCTGTATGTGATACACTTCAGCAAATCATCCTCTCAATCAACGCTGACGTCATCTGAGACTACCAACCGTCCATTGTCTGACTATCTCCCACCGCGGACTTGAAGAGTTGCTCAAACTTGGCTTGGTCTTGCGCAGTGATGAACGATAGCCGTATGTTAGGAATTTTGCTCCCCGATGACTTGGGTGGTGGCGGAGGCGCGACGCCGGCACCATCGCTAAACGAGTTGGCTATCTCCGAAGACGTCCTGGGAGCAAGCCGAGTGGGCAGGCCGGTGGTCGAAGGAACCTGAAGCGACGGAGGCTGACTCTGAGGAGGATAACCCGTGAACTGCGGCTGTTGTGCGGGCGCCTGATAGCCGCCAAGCTGTTGCTGCTGCTGCTGAGGCGCTGCGCCGGGGAAGCCTGTGAACTGAGGTTGCAGTTGTCCAGTAGGGAATCCCGTTGGCTGAGGCTGCAGATGAGAGGCCGATTGAGGTCCATATCCGGCCGGCTGTGGTTGAAAGCCAGTCTGTTGTGGTATTTGTTGCTGACCCTGAGGGAATTGCGAGTATGGAGGTTGCTGCATGAAGGGCGGCTGTCCTGGGCGGGCGTTGTTGACGCCGCCCAAGAAGGAGTTCGACGAAGAGTACATCACAGCGCTCGCATTAGAAGTGGGAAGGAAGATAGGTACTGCAAGTCGAGAAAATACAGAGATCAAATCACTATCAAGCAACAAGAAAATTGACGACAAAGAAGCAGATGAACGAAAGAAACCAGACGATGCAAGATAGAGTTGGGTCGAGGGATTCAGGAGGAGCTGCGGTTGTGGTGACGCCTGGACGTTCAGGCACGCGGAGGCAATATCGGCGCTAGCCCAAAAGGGATATGTGGAGCCTCAATTTCCGGGAATCCAGGCTCCAACCCCTCGTGATCCAAAGCGTCAACTAAATATAACCTACTCCGTACATTACTCCGTAAGTACATACAAGTAGCTTACCCATCGCAACTTGAAGATATTCCAGTCACAAATGCAATCTGAATTGTAGCTTTGAACCTCTAGGTGCTATTAAAGTCTCGACTGCTGCTTGTTGTTGTTGTTGCATAATAGTCATTCAATTGGACGTTATCATTAGAGACAGCAATCAACATGTCATGATGAACTCGTAGCGTAGAGGCTCCTCCAAAAACCGAGCCCAACCTTTAAGCAACTCGATAAATCATCATCTCGCGTAACGTGCAATTTGCGATACCATCAACCCCGTACAAGACAATGCATGGAAAATATGGCAAATGGCCACGTTTTAATGTACAGGTGATTCGCATAAACCAGATGCGCCAAAATCCAGACCGGAGGAAAACAAGCAGATGCAAATCAGCTCTGATTTGCCATTATCGCAGCCTATAATCTAAGCACCTTCTGCAGTACCATTCTGCTGCTGCTGGGTAGCCCCGACCATCTTACGCAGCTCGTATTCTTTGGTGAATTCGCGGGAAAGGATGCCCAGGTCCTTGACAAGGTCATGACAGGCGGCGAGCAGAGCATCCTTAGGAGTGATCTCGCCATCAGTCTGAACGCGGAGTTCAAACTTGGGAACTAGAGGATGGGGGACCTGAGACAATTCGTCAGAGTCATGCATCCCAGAGCTCTCAAGGAAAGCCCTTAAGACCTCAAATAATGTGAGGGAAATACGGCTTCCATGGGCGGACATACCTTGTAACCAGCAAAGATCACATGAGAATTCTGCAGAAGACGGGAGCGGAGGAGGTTGCCGAGCGTGTGGTCCTCTTTGTTGAAAGTGAAAATAGAGGAAGATGGAATGCCTAGATGCATTAGATCGGTCGTCGTTGGTTTGCACCGCGAAGTTTGACGGAAGAACTTACGAGTATCGGCCTCGACCTCGACTTTCTCTTCTCCAGGAGACAGAACAAAAGACTCGAAACTAAAGAAAAGACACAGTGTCAGCCTGAATACAAAACACTCGTTGACTTTGTAAAGTATATTGAGGTGTTGAGTGAGCACCTGCGCGGCTGGTCATTGTCCAAATTTATGGAAGAGTGGCAGGGATTATTGTTACGGGAACCACCACCAGCATGTATCCAACGAGCGTAGGCCATCTCATTGGGGAGCATGAATGGTTTCTTTGGACTCATGGCGACAGGACTCTCTCAAAGGACAAGACCAGAGGCCAAGATGTAGAAACAATAGGGCGTTGGGCAAAGGAAGACAAACAGTTCACGATCAGGTCAAGAGGGAAATGGGTTGTCAACAGAAGTTGTTGATGATGGTAGGCACAAGCATGAGGAAGGTGGGTGATTGCGTCGCCGAGAGCGCAGACGACCAAGCTGGAAACCCTGTTCCAGGGTTGTACATAGTGAAGGCAACATCCTCCATTTCCACTTTCGGCAAGGCACAACCCCTCCATCACTTTTTGTTGCAATTTTGAGGGAGATCTCCTGACAAGAGACAGGACAAGAATAGAGAAGGCAGCCAAGACATCAAAATGAAGATGCGTTTTCCATAGACAGTGGAACTAATCTTGCTTACCGATCTGGCGCGTTCATCTTGACAGAATGACAACTGAACTTGCGGCTGTCTCAAACTTGCTCTCACAAGTCCCACGATCCTCAAGGACAGAAGAGCCGGCGCCCAAGGAGGAACAAACAGAAGTGATGATTGACCAATTGAAATAGATGAGAACCAAGAAAGGCAACTGTTCTCTGTAAGATCCCCTGTTCGCCTCAGAAACCTCGATCAAAACTCACCCTGAATATCCAAAAAAAGGGAAAAGAACGAAAGAAACAGGTGTTGATCTTCCAGACGATATCAGCAAATGACCAATAGGAATGCCCAAGGACAACCGCCTTTGAAGGACATCAGAGAACTTACAAGCCTGATAAACCGAGTTTAATAGGAGAAATCCTTTGTACAAAGCTGCCGAGGGGAGTTATTAGAGGGTTATGAGCTTCTGTGAGCAAACTGAAGATATGGATGGAAGAGTGAAGCAATTAAGCAGGTCTGTCTAGTCTAGTTCTACTATCAAAATGCTTTTATCAGATTCCATCATTCATTATCTACCGCCTTCACAAGTCCCGTGATTTTAGGCACGTGATACTACGGATATTGATCACTAAAAGTGTCCCCGCGGCCCGACCGTATCCGAGTGACTTACCACCCAATGACTCAAGGCAAGTTGAATTGATAACTAACTGGAGGTAGTGTCCCTTGCGGAAGAGTGAGCGGTTTACTGATTGGATTAAAACCCAGAGGATGTGGAACGGCATCGGGATGGCGGATGGAAACGATCCGCAAGCTGAATATGTGATATAAACTAGCATGCATCCTCGCTCTAGTCTTAAGGCACGTTATCTATTGCTCTAAACTATGCCCAAGGCAATCCGAGATCTAGACACCACACACACAGTATTGATATCATGTCGCCGAGAACTATATTAAAATCAACCTATCCTTGGACAAAGAGTCCCCTTCTGGTCTCGGCTCCAATGCTGAACATTGCCGGCCACCAGCTGGCAGTATCTGTCTCCTCCGCCGGTGGACTTGGATTTCTTGCTGCAGGATTCGATGTTTCGAGCTTGGATCATAACCTGGAAGTTGCCGCACGTCTGGTGAAGCAATCAGGCGGTATGGCACAGCAAGTATACGAGGAAACAGGTGTGCTCCCCATTGGGGTGGGCTTCATCAATTGGGGTGCCGATCTCAAAGTCTCTATTGCCGCGATCCAGAAGTACACGCCATGCGCTGTGTGGCTATTTGGTCCAAAGAACCAACCGGACGACCTAGTGCCCTGGGTGAAGGAGGTGCGTGGCGTGACCTCTGGCCGGACCAAGATCTGGGTGCAAGTGGGTGCCGTGGGTGAGGCGATTGCGGTTGCCGAAGTTCTTCAACCAGACGCTTTGGTCGTCCAAGGTTCTGATGCTGGGGGCCATGGTCTAGCTCATTCGGCCTCAGTTCTGACTCTGATACCTGAGGTCCAAGATGCTTTACGGGAGCGAGACCTAACTCACATAGCCACCATAGCTGCAGGAGGAATAGTTGACGGACGAGGACTGGCAGCGGCTTTGGCACTGAGGGCTGCCGGCGCTGCCATGGGTACTCGCTTCCTGGCTTCTGCAGAAGCGAATATAGCTCACGGATATCAGAAGGAGATCTTAAGAGCATCTGATGGCGGTCTCAACACTATCAGGTCGACTGTATATGATCGAGTGAGGGGTATCGGGGGTTGGCCTAATCGATACGACGGGCGCGGTATTATCAACCAGAGTTACGTCGACGCTGTGGAGCGAGGAATGAGTGATGAGGAGAATAAGAGTTTGTACGAAGAAGAGCTGAAGAAGGGCGATGCCGGCTGGGGACCCAAGGGGAGGCTCACGACATATGCTGGCACTGGTGTTGGCCTAGTGCGAGAAATCCTGCCTGCATCCACAATCGTGGAGAACACATTGTGTGAAGCAAGAGATGTGATTCGGGGAATTTCAGTAGATTGAAGCACTGCGGAGACCAAGTCTCTAGTGAATTGCTGCCATATTTTACTGACAGGAGGAACAGAGATGCGATTGAAATACGATTAAATATTTAGGAGCGGCGTTCCCTAAAAGCCCATGCCCAGTATATTACTAGTAGTCAATTACAGATACAAGAGTAGATACATTTGCCGATTGCTTTGATACAGAGGATTTCACAACCCTTTGCTGAATAGTGATCATATACCATTGCTGCCTCAAAACACCAGCCTTAAAACCCCTAGCTTGCTTGAAGAATGGAGAAAGACAATAAATAAATGGATAGAAAGATGTCATGATGCAGTGCCGATCTTCAATGCTGTATCGTAAACCCGCCAATAGATATTTGAGGGACACGGGGGGTCCAAAAGACAAAAGTGAAAGGAGCATCCAACCGCTTCTTGAATCTCGGCCGTATGAAATAAGAATACCGGGATGTCGAGGGCAAGAATTGTAAGTCAAGGTAATAGAGTATGCGTATATGCCTGCTTACGCAGAAGGTATCGTGACGAGACCGAAAATTTAGCGCCGAGGAAGAGCATCATCAATGCACCACATTCAGTAAGTCTCCGAGACTCGACGTTTCTTTCTTAATTCTCCAATTGCTTTTCTTCTTTTCGCGTTTCTTCAACAATTCGGCCCACCCTTCATCTTCATCCTCGTCGTCTAGCACAGCGTTCTTACTTTCATTTTGCGGTCTTCCGTCGGTAGAGACGGGACGGACGGTCACACTTGGCATCGACGGACTCTTCATCGCGAGCGGTCCTGCTGGGGAAGCTGTTCTCTGGTTTTCATCATTCCATTGTCTGGCCATCGAGGGATAGGCCGCAGATCCGTGGTCTGGTTGCAACGTCGATACAGGCCGATACCGAGGTGCCATGCCGACATTGCTACGTTCTGATGGCGCAATAGACGGTGCATAACCTTGGCCTAGCGGTGTGCCCGGTCGGTTGCCAGCAGGAAGGTAGGGTATCGCCGGGCCATTGAGACGAGAGGAGACATTCGGGTCCAGCATACTTAGAGTTCTTTGGTCATTGAAGGTAGGAGGAGCCGGACTGAACGGTCCTGCTGTAGGCATGGAAGCAGGCCGCAAATTTGCATTGGCAGACAACGATGGCGGAAAACCCGCGGGTGACATCAGTGGTTGCGGCGGCGGAGTCTGCCCTCCTTGCATGGAAATCATTTGCTGCATCCATTGCATCTGCACCTGCATCATTTGGGACATCTGTTGTGACAATTGTATCTGCGCCTGTTCTGTAGCAGAGACTCCCGCCTGAAGATTCGGGGGATTCATACCCATCATTGTGTAAGGTCTTGGGACGCCGCCCGATGGGGTGGGTGCCCCTGATGCTCCCAGTCCGTTCTGGAATTCATAAACGGCTTGAGTATTGGGACTCCCTCGTCTCATTGCTCTTGCTCGCTCTTCTGTAGCAATGACGCCCACTAAGCCACCTGGAGGCAATGCAGCCGAAGCAGAGGGGCCCCCATGCACCGACGCACCCCCTCCAAAAGCCAAGGACTCCCTGTTTGGGGGATTGACTAAGCTTGCCCCGTAGTACGGATCCCGGGGGAGATTTCGAGCAAAGACAGGTAAGCTGCTGCGATTAGTCAAATCATTGTCCCCAGCGACAGAGCCTGGAGATGCGACATAAGGCTGCTGGAACGAGGCCCGAAGATTCGGAATGGAACTTGAAGGTGCCAAGCGACTTGGGGGGCGGTTTCTATTTGGAAAACCATGTGCAGCAAGGATTCCTAGCGGGATGTCCTCGTCCTCATCACCCTCGCTGCTCTTCCCGCTGCCCGATCTGTTGCCAGAATTTGGTGCATTGATCGTCAGGTTCGGCGTACTATTGCTGGCGTGGTCAAGTTCCGGTCGAAGGGACGGTGGTGCGGGAGACTGTTGGCCTGTGACTTTCATCATCTGCTGTCTATATACAGATAGATGAGCTTCCTGCTTCCGTCGCTGCCTTTCAGCTTCCCGGTTCTTCTCTACCTCGTCGTCTTCATCGAAATCACTCTCGACCGAGTCTTCACTCCTGGAAGCATCACTGTTCGACCTCCTGAGTTCTTGCTGCTGCCGATAATGCTCAAATTGCGACGGCGTCATGACTTTATTCGTCGATGTGCCGGGCTTCGGCTGGCTTTGCTCGTACTGGGCAGCCAGTAGCGCGTGCGCCGCAATGGAAGGGTCGAGTTGGCTCTCCCCTACTGGAGGCGATTGACGTCGTATTTCTGCGGGTGACTTTGAAGGGCTGGCAGACTTTTGCGTGTTTGAGTGAGCAAAGAGGGGTGTGTCATGCTCGTCGTCCGAGCCCTCATGGTCCGACGTCGACGCAAAATGCACCCCACCTTTACTTGAATGAAGGGAGTCCATTATTAATTTAGCGTCTTCATCTTCGATAGGCGTAGAACCCCGTTTCGTCGAGTAGACGACGCTTCTCCTCAGTCCTCTGTCTCCTCCCGCCTGAGGCTTGATCAGAGACCGGTGAGAAGTCGTAGCAGTTGCCAAGGGAAGAGATTTCCGCCGCCCTTCAGGCAGACCTGGCTGACTGATCGGGGAGTCCTCCGCTGGGGACTGCATAGCGTTGAGAAGGCCCTCTCCGGAGTGTCGACTGTCCCAGGAGTAAGGGGAA